GTCTTTTGCTTTTTGACTGTGTGCCCTTACTATCACTGGCAAGTTCATCTATCCAATTGCTGAGCCACTCCTTTTTGGTATTATATTGTACTTTTTTGGGATTCCAATGTAGAGTGAAAACTCTCTTATCCTAGATGATTCCAGCTCCAGACAGGGTCTGCTGAGACCTACAGCCTTACCCTCTGAACAAATACTGGATTCTTGGCCTTTTCATGAGATAAGAGTTATTGTTGGGCTAGCTGGACCACCACCTCTAAGCTTCATTAATAAATCCCCCTGTAATATATACATATGCATTCTATTAGTTCTGTTCCTTTAGAGAACCCTGACTAAGACACAAGAAATGTATTTCTATGTATTTAAGCATATCATTTAAACAACAGGAATACCGCTGATTCCCCTTCTTTCCCATTGTGACCCTGGGAGCAAGCAACACCTGACAACTTACTGCTAAGACAATTTGGGTTCTAGGAATTCCTTAAAACATTACCTAACACCAGAGGTTACTAATGTCTTTTACTAGACTGCTGATAGACTTTGTTATCTTCACTCCCAAATTTCTAAGAATATATATATATATATATATATATATATTCTTTATGTCAGTGTCTTGATAATTTGAGTGAAGCTGAATTTAAAAGCAATGGAGTAATAGAATAAGTGTTTGCCAGAAGAAGTTTCAAGAAATCATAACATTCAGGATGTGGCATGGTTACTGTATACCCCATAGTCATAACTACAGTTTGTTAATTACTTTACATCACTAGTTGCTGCAAGACAACACATGACAAAGACAACTTAAGGAAGGGAAGTTGAACTTTAGCTTACAGGTTGAGGGAATAGTTGTAGTGGGGAAGGTATGGCAACAGTCTTCAGGCAGCTAGTCAAACTGTATCTGTAACCAGGAGACAGTGACAGATAAGTGTTGGCATTCAGCTTATCTTCCCCTTTTTGACTCCAGCTCAGCAACACCACTCAAGGAATGTTACCACTCAAACATCGGGGGAGTGTTCTCACTTCACTTAACCTTTGGGAAACATACTGACATGGACAACCAGAAGTGTGTTTCCATGGTGATTCTAAAACCAGCTGTTAATGCAGATAAAGCACTACATAGCATGAGAAAAGTCAAATGTGCAATTTGGTGCAGAAAGGAGTGTGAGTTTAGAGTTGTAGGCAGACTGAAAATAGAAAAAGCTGATGTGATTCTCAGAGATTAGTGGTATTAAAGAGAAACCTGAAGATGTGTGCTGGGACAATAAGAAAGGTACCTCACAGGTAAGATCCCACTCATCAAAAGAGGCATCAGCTTTAAAAAATAAAAACCCATCTGAAAGAAGAGTGACTGAGCCCAGAGGCTTCCTGTTTGAAAACAAACACCACAACAGTTGTGGAACAGGAGACCAGACATCTTAAGTTGGAACCATAACTAGGAGGTGTTGTTGGGATGCCATCCATTTTGTAGGCACTGAAAATGAAAGGCAAAGTCACAACGGCTTACACCACAGTGGCCCAAAGCTGCTGAGGACAGGTAGCATTTTGCTGGGTCAGATTTCCTTAACATGGGCTCTGAGACGCTGTGATGTGAATCTCTGAAGCGTCAGTGTGAGTTCTGTTAGAGAAGCCAGCATTTTGGAGGAGTTACTAGGACAATTAGGTATGACATACCTGCCTAGGAAAGCTGCAGGCATGAAATGTATCTGACCCAAGAAGCGAGGTTACAGGCACTAGAGCTAGTGAGATGGGGCACCACGCTCCATAAGACACATGATGCCAACGTTTGGTGTTTGCCTTGCTGCCGTTCATTCATAATCACATTCACATTTATATTCTTTCATTTAAATTCTTATTGGATTTCTACTACTGTATCTTCTTTTCATCACTGCTAATCAGTAGTTTTTCTCCAGCTAATGTATTGTTTAGGGATGTAGGTATAAAAGTTGTTCAAATGATTGAGACCTATCAGACAAAATAAGATCTTTTACTTGAATCTCAGAAAGATGAGCACATATCCTTATTATAGTTATTTTAAAATACATCCAAATATGTCAGTGCTATTCAATATGAACTCATGCATTATCGTGGGGGTATGTAAGTAGCGGTTGTTCCCAGAGGGAATTATAAACATTAAAATATATTTTAAAATACCATTCAAGCTCTATTAAAGTACACTACCTTCAGATTTCATTAAAATATAAATTAAAACATATTTACTTATAAAAGTAATTTCCTAGGCATGCTTTGAAAGGCTACAATACTGTGGTTAATACTGCATACAATTTAAAATAAATGAATACTTTGTCATTCGTGAACACTTAAAATGTTAAAAAAAATCTCCAGGCATTCTATTTAAAATTATAATCGTGATGTTATTGGCAAATGGGTAATAGTACATATGACAAATCTTACTTTGGAGTTGTAAGCACAATTAATAAATCATCACTGAAAGCAACTGGACCATTGTCAGTGTGCTCTGGAACAAGGCCAGCAGGCCATTAATCAAAGCATGGAACAGGGAAAGTGAGAGGCACAGCCTCAGCAGCTAGGAAAACACATTGGAAAGCTAATAAAAACTACCTTGTTTGAAAACTGCCACAGTGTTTACTTTTGCAAGTAACATAAACATTATCATAAAATTAAAGTTGTATAATAAAAGAAGCTTGTTTTGATAACCTAGGAAAATATATACTAATTCAAATGTATGTTCCCAAGTTTAAAATTCAGACATGCCAACTTTAAGAATTAGATATTTCTGTATCACATTCTCCATAAAATGAATATATATGTAAATATTTCAAATAATTTGAGCTTCAACTTCAAAAAGTCATATATTATTAAAAACTTTAGTAATCAAATACTAACAGAGAGATAGGTAGAACATTTGGAATTGTCATAATCAATTTTCTTTCTCTGTGTTCATATATAATGGATATGTGTATTTATGTAGAGCAAATTTTATCAAAATTTTAAATATAACTTCAAACATGTTGCTTTCATCTAATATTATACTTAATTGATTAGTAAAGAAGTGAAAATATTTGCCGAGTTAACAGAAAAGATACATAGACAACTCTAATTTCTATAGGAAGTATAAGAAAAGGAATTATTCCAGGTCTAAACATTACATAATTACCTTTGCCATTCCTGGAGAAGAGGTACAAGATTTAGCCAGCAGACCTGGACAGGTAGCGGTTTAAAAAATGAAGTGCATCATGAACTTAGCTATGCTAGTATTTCTATTGTCACCAATCCTAAAGACACATAGCTGTTCAACTAACCCGATATGAACTCAAAGGGCTTGCAGTCATGGCTCCCTTCTGTTACTACAGTGGTTCGAAGCAAGCCATTGAACCTCACTGAAGTTCAACTTTATTCAGTTACTTTACAAATATTCATGAAAATGTAAGCCCAATTAACAGAGTTGCAATGAAAATTAAATATATTAAAGATGTTCAAAATAGTACTTGGCATATAGGAATGAAACCAAAATTAATATGGCAGTATAATTGTTGTGGAATATTCCTTTACCCTTCGTGAAGATGTGCCATGGTGATTGGTTTAGTGAAAAGCTAAGCAGTCAATGGCTAGGCAGAAGGCAATGGTGGGACTGGCAGAGTGCTGTGAGAAAGAAATGGGCTGTGGTCAGCCAGGTGCCTTAGAAACAGGATAGGAAGCACAGAGTAAAGTCACAGAGAACAACAATTAAAAATTATGGGTTAATTTCAGTTATTGGCACTAGTTAGGAACACGTCTAAGCTATGGCCGAGCTTTCAAAATTAATAAGTCTCTGTATCATTTTTTTGTATGCTGGCATTGCCCAAATTAATCTCATATAACACTAGCTACCAAAAAAGTCCTGGTAATAGATAAGTCTATCCTAAAACAGAACCAGAAAATTACTTAAAGAGCAAATAATCTAACTTATCTAGATCTGAGCTTTCTGATTAATGAAATGTGTACAGGTAAATAATTTAACACCTATATGAATCATTAATCCATCTATATAGGGTTTATTACTATAGTAAGAAATGAAAACATTAAAAATGATAAATTTAATAACTTCTACATCATTTAAAAAAGTGAAAATTTAGGTGGTAAGCTGGAGAAACAAGACATGAGGAATACTAAAGCAACAGGAAACAAATATTGCTTACTGAAAAGAGCTGAAGTTATAAATAGGTAATGATAAAATTCTATTAAGTATCTGAGAAAGTAAAATGGAGTGACATACTTGAAATATGGTGAAAGTGACTCAGGAAGATCAAATTAAGCCTGGGTAGCACATGTAGACACTTTCACAGTACACACACACACACACACACACACACACACACACACACACACACACAGGAACTTAAACATAGACACACACAAGTATGAATACACACAAATGAGGTCTTTAGTGGTTAAACACAAAAGGTTTAAGTAATTGCATAATATCTGTCTATTAAAATGATTTGGCTATAACCAAAATAGCAGATTATTAAAAGCACCAAGCAAACAATACTCATGAAGTCAAAACAGTTAAGAGCCTTTGAAGGAATTCTGACAAATAGGCCATAAGGCTAATAGGATTGTCTACCTGAGGTTCTAGTAATTCTAGTTTTGGGACTCTACCTGAGAAAATAACCAATTTATAAAAATTATACAACATAATATTTATGTATATATATATAATGCTTTTTCCAAAAATGCAAAAACACATACATTCCAATGGAAGATTGGTTAAGTAAATTTTTTTAAAAATGCAGAGTGGAATGTAAAATTATGTTGAAATAATTATTAACGTGAAGACTTTCCATGCATTTGTATTAAGAATAGGTTATGTCATAATGCTGAGGGCCTAGTTTTGTAAGCCCCATACAGAATGAGGGAGAGCAGAGAAGATACAGAGCTGCAACGGGATTCATGCTGCTCATCTCCAGTGGAAGAGATTGTGAGCTATCCAGATCTCATCCTTGCTGTCTGTACTTTCTGATGATTTTGGAATGAACATTTACCAATTCTGTAATTAGAAAACAAATAAAGTGAAACTCATTTCACTACAAACAAATGGATTGATAATAACATTTTCCCGTATGTTTCTAGCAACTACACCCTTCATCTGTAAAAATGATGTCTAACACTGATGGATGAGTGCGTGAAAGGCTTGGTACACAAGCATGCTGACCTGCAGAACACACGCAAATCCAGATGTGGAAGCATGGGTCTGTAGTTCATGGGCTCCTGCAGATGTATGGGAGACAGAGACAAAAGTATGCCCAGAAGCTTGCAGACCAGTTAGCTTGGCACACAGTGGAGAAGAATAGGCCCTGAGACTGTAGTTAGGTCTGCAGTGAGAACAATCACAGCCTTACTTCAGAGTGTAGCCTTTTATCATTCAATATGCACCTGAAATACAGCAGATTCTAGACATCTTTAATGGAATCCTTAAATGAGGATAACTCAGAACACATAGCTCAAACTCCTTTGGTTCAGATTGAGGAGCTACATCTGTTAAGTTTTAATAGTCTTTTTTATTATATGGGAAAATATGTTTGAGCTCTTTTTTTTTAAAGAAGACATCTACCACACAGAAAACTAAAATATTCCCATGAAATTCTGCTTGAAATACAGTAACCTACACATATTTTATTTGTAGCCTGCAGAAACAAAGACGGTCTCTAGAAGTTTCTAAAGGCTAAGGAAGAAGTTGTTTATACTTTGGCTTTGTGCTTTAATGGATTTGTCCAGCAACCACAAATGAGGTGGTGCTGAATGCTTCACATGTGTCCTATCACTCAGAAAATGACCTTGTTACTCCCAGCAAGGGCCATCAATGTGGTAAGCAAACAACTTCCTAAGCAGCATTGCACAGAGACTGTAAGGAGAACCCACAGAGTGTTCCTTATATTTCTTTAATGCCTAGCACCATATTATGTTTGCAATTTCTTCATCTTATAAAATCACTGATGTTTAAAAACACTAGTGTCTATATCCCAAATCAGTACTGAAGAGAATTCTATCCCTTGGGTTGGTAATATGTCCTGTGTGTCTCCATTTTGGACAGTGTAATGTAGATAAATTGTTTGATAATGCTGTGCTTAAGAAAAGAACTCTTCCAGGGAACTCTTACAGCTGATTAACACCTTCAGCAAAGTGACAGGCTACAAGATCAACTCAAGAAAATCAGTAGCCCTACTATATACAGATGATAAAAGGGCTGAGAAAAAAATCAAAGAAACATCACCCTTTACAATTGCCACAAACAACATAAAACACCAAAGTATGGAGGATTGAACCCAGAGCTTCAGGCATGCTACTTAAGCACTCATCAAAAAGAGAATTACAGTTCACTGTAGGAGATATTTCTACTGAATAACCTTATAAATAAACCATAGAAAGTATTTTATATAGTTTAGTAAACTTTACAAAAATATTATACCTCATTCATTCCAATAAACTGAGGAAATCTCATATAAACAAGTATATAGACTATAGTGAACCACTAGTATTGTATTATCAGTGAAATACTTTGAAATATTAAGAGTCCATTTGCTTGGGAAGCTATGATGGTATTAAATGAATAATGTTACATTGTTAATGAGAATTTCTTATAAAATTTGTTTCAGAAGCAGAATAAGACACAAAAGTTTTTTGTTTTTTTTAAAATAGGGTAATAATGAATATTTAGCCCTTTCCTCCTACCCCTACCCTCTTGGTCACATCTAATTCCATTGTATTATTGTTATTGTTGCTTTTTATTTAGTTTCCAGCTAAGAATGTAGGTTTTTTAATTTTGCAGAAGCTTCTTTTTCTCAAATAATTAGAAATGTAGTAAAAGTATTTAAATTTTTATGCACAGTATATTCAAAATAAAAAAACATTCTAAAGTACAAAAAAATCCCAAATTTATACATTAATATCTTACTTCAGTTGGATGATGAAAGAGGAATTATAAAGCATGGTGGGAGAGACTCAACCTCTGATTGACATGTGTTAAAGTAAACTGCCTTTAATCCTCAGAATCCTTATGTGTGTTTTTTTCAGCTCTACATACGAATAGCCTTGACAGATGGTCCTACAAGGATTGGCACACAACTCAGAAAAGATGATATGGTTTATGACAACTTTAAAAATGCTGAAAATATATGGGGAAACTGACACAATCATTTCAAATTATAATTTGAAATTTTTAGAAATGAAAGCACACTACTTTTATTTAAAAGCTTTATAAAAATAGTCATGATTTAGAGCAAAGATTCTTTCACCTGTCTACCATGCAAATATCACAAGCTTGCTTTAGCAATAATGTGCACCAAGGGAATGATAGTAATCTTAAAAGTTTACACTTAGTTAATAAATGCACTGGAACAATCTAAAATGCTATTCTATGACATAATCCAATACATTTCCTTCCTTGCTGCCTAAGATTTTCATCAGACAAAAAAATCAGTCCAAAGACGGTAAGAGATAGTGGTTAATTTTTTCTGTTTTTGACTCTCCTGCATCCTTAAGATTTCCCATTATGCCTGACACATAACTGATATCCATGAGCTACATTTTACTGGCTAGCTAAATGAAGGGGAGAATTCTCTTGAGATTTTGGATTGCCAGTAATTTATTCTTGGCAATAATCACCTGTATAAATAGTTTGATAATCCTAATATATTTTAGGAATAACTCTTTGTCACTCTGTAAAGAGCAGGAATGGAGCGCACACTGATTTTTTAGATATTATGTCTGGATACACATGCAATACACAATAGATCCTGTGCAATGGACAAATAGATCAAGCAAACTATAGAAATAAGGAATGAAAATCTGACTTAATCCCGTTTTTCTCTTTATGTTTTTTTGTTTTATTTAGGAGACAGGATCTCACTTTATAGCTAGTTGGCCTTGAACTAACTATATAACAAGGCTGGCATTAAACCTGCATAAACCACCATCTCCAGCCATAAGAGTATCAGTATTATAGACTAGGATCGCTGTTAGGTACATATGTAATCCTTATTTATGCTAGAAACTTTAAAAAATCCTGCTATAATCTTGCCAGACTCCTAAGACAAGGTTTATGGCTCCCTTCAGATTCTCATTGTTTACAGAACTCTAAAACATTTTTGTATCAGGATCACTTTACACCTTCAGAGTTTCGGGACATCTCAGGCGTGCTAGATCCACATTCTTATTAATGTATATTACAGACTGCATCTTGAAAATTAACACTAAAATATTCATTAATTATTTCAAGATTACACAAATCATGCTGACAACATGCATAGCATACACTTGTAAAGCTTTTTTAACTTTGGGATCAAGATAATTACAAAATTTCTCCCTTCCTTTTCCTTACTTCAAAACTATTCATGAACCCCTCCCTACGCTCCTTCAAATTCATGGACTATTTATCATTAACTGGAATAACATACTCTTTATGAAAAAATACATATTTTCTGAACAAACAAACAGTTTGTGACAACATTGTTTTGTGCATTTATAAATCTGTTTGGTGACTGGCTTGATAGAAAGCAGTTCACTTTTCATTTGCTTATGTATTTTATCATCTATAATACATTATTCTAATGAGGATGTAAAGAAAACACAGCCTCACACAGGTATGAACTTGAAGGTGAAACACATAGAACCCCAAGGAAGGTCCTTGTGAGGCCCAGGTGTTCTCTTCCCACATTGTGCAGAGGTCTAACAATACCATCTGCTAAGACAACCACAACTTATAAGAAAAGACAAGAATATACATATGTATATTCATATATATATAACAATTCACATATTCATTTGGAATTGAACTGATAATACTATACAAATATCCATTGTTTTCTTATATTTTTAGTTTAAATTCATTACAATTAAATTAGAATATAAATTAAAGTTTGAAACCAAGAGTAAAATAAAGCATATAACTCCAATACTTGATATAAGTAAACAGATGACTAGAAAGAGGGATTTTACTAGAGGGAGAGAAAAAAAAATATCCTGGCAGAGTTGCTAATTTGAATGTATCTGCGCGTAATGTAAGCAATAAATTAGATTGAAATGCTTTAGTGAACACAAGATGCATTCTAACATTTTTTGTATCCTACATACCATTTCTAATTAAATTGTGGAAAAACACAAAGAAAATTGCTTATATTTTTGGCATTTCTGCCTAAATATTAATAAGAATTACGCAAATACCAGAAAAATGTATTTTCTGAGTTACTGTAGACTATCCCGCATCCTAGCTGTAAGCTCTAACATTCTAGCTGTCATGTAGGAGGATGTGGGCCTGCATCAGACAGAGCACTCACCTTTCCTTCCCTGGAAGGTGCTGCTCCTGCGGAGCCATTTTGGGTTCCGTCCCAAGATTCTTCTGCATATGATGTCTTCTCTTCCTGCTTGGCGCAATGTCAGTGACATCAGGACTTGAAAATAAGGAATCTTCTTTACAAAGAGTGGCTAAAATAAAATGAAATTATACATGCAATATTACATTGCTTCCTTAACAATGGCATAAGTATCACAGTGAAAATATAGCAAAACTATTCTCTCAACCCTTTACGCACACTTGCTGATATGAAGCAGGTAGTTGGTGTGTTATAGTTTACCATCAATGTGAGAATTATGGACAGTGTCTACTGAATAATCGGGTTCAAGCAGCCTCTGCCTACCTGAGGCAAACCCAGTCTAAACAGTGCATAAGAAACATACTAAAGGGATGGTATGAAGCAACTTAACCTAGATCAGTGTTAATGTGCATGTGAGAATTTATTAGTTACAGAAAATTACAGGCTTGAAGAGGAATGTAAAGTCACTAAAGTCTGAGAGCCTCAGGGTGCCCTGTACTTGTGAGGTAGAGGCAACAAAGAAAACAAACCTGTTTCATGTTTCGGTGTTTACTATTAATCTTGTTCCAAAAGGCTTAAGGACACCAAGAATACCTGCTTGTTAATCAATACGCAAACTGTCGTACAAAAATCCACATTTCTATAAAAAGGGGGTGTTTGGGGGATTACAACAATGATATACGAAAGATTTGAGTCTTTAATATGTTTTCTTGGTGTGTACACATGCCCTCATGTCTCATATAAGTGTGTCAGAAAAAAATTCTGCTGCACAATTAAAGAGGAAGCTGGAACACTATACAGACACTGAAAGGAGAGGATGCAGAAAGTTCTAAGTACAGTGAAGGTCCAGTCCTATGCCATAAACAGCGGCTGATTCAGTGAAAATAAGTCAAAGAACTACGGTTTTCAAAAGGTTAAATTTCTCCAGAAGTAAACACTTCACCAAGGTAGGTGTGAAACATCTCACCTGAATCCTTAATTGGATTTTTAAACATTTGTTTGTTTTTAAGACAGGGATTCTCTATGCAGCCGTGGCTAACCTTGAACTTCCTATGAAGAACCAGTCTGGCCTCAAATTCACAGAGATCTGTGTGCCTCTGCCTTCCCAAGCCTGGGACTGAAGCTACACATCACTGTACCTGGCTGCAGAGTCATTTGAAGAAACAGATGCATTTATAGTCCGTAAGTTCTGCTTTAGAGGAGGTATGTTGCAGGTCAGCTGACTATGCTGATGACAATGATTATGTTGCTTGAGATTCAAGGGAGCCAGGACTTTGACTAGTGTTGTAAACAGACACCTAACAAAAATTTCCAGATCTTAGTTGACTTCTCAAGTAAACACTATTCATTTTAGTGGTAATTTCTTTAGAATTAATGGTTCTGATGTAAGTTTTTCTGGTTGAGACGCCTGAAAACATATGTCCATGCAAACATATTTTACTTTCCAAAGTTATTACAGGTTTTAAGTCAATCTGTTTCTACCAAATTCTATGTAGATAATTTTATCCATTCCTAAAATGTGCTGAGATAGAGTGTAGCTAAAAAGAAAACATGATTATTTCCCCTGAAAATGTTGAAGTTGAACAATTTGTTACCTTTTATTAAGCTATGGCATATCTAATGAAGATACAAATATATTACTGGGCATGATTAACACATATGAATGAATGTGTAACTTAGCTGCCCAAAGTCAGCTACTTAATTAAAGTGACTTAAATACCTAAGGATTTAATTGGATTATTTGGTGTTTTGGTGGGAATTTGAGTTCATTGCATATTTTGGAAATCAGCCCTTTGTCAGATGTGGCTTTGGTGAAGATCTTTTCCCATTCTGTGGGCTGTCATTTTGTCTTGCTGACTTTGCTCTTTGCCTTGCAAAAGCTCCTCAGTTTCAGGAGATGCCATTTATTAACTGTCAATGTCAAGTGGGGTGCAGAACTAAATAGAGAATTCTCAACAGAGGAATCTAAAGTGGCTGAAAGACACTTAAGAAAGTGCTCAACATCCTTAGTCATCAGGGAAACACAATTCAAAAGAACTATGAGATGGTAATCTTACACCGGCCAGAACGGCTAAAATCAAAAAACACCCATGACAGTATATGCTGGAGAGGATGTGGAGAAAGAATAATACTCTTCCATTGCTGGTGGGAGTGTAAACTTGTACGACCATTTTGGAAATCAGTAAGATACTCATCATCGAAACTAACAATTGCTTTTAACTACTAAGCTATCAATTCACCCTTGATGCTTATTTTAGACATGAAGGAAACTTGGATAGAGATGAAAAAAGAAGGATACTCTTAAAAAACAATGAGGAAGTTCATGGCTTGAATGGAATCATGCTCAAAATATAGTATAACAGATAGATAAGAAATGAGTATTGCCAAGACTATTGGTTTGTCTCCATAAATAGAAATTAAGTACCTGTTGCTGAAGACAATATCTATACAACACACTGAACATGGACAAGTTGAGCTCCTGCCTGACTAGAGCCTTCATTCACTAATGACTAGTGTTCATAGTACTAGAAATTACTCTGCATGTTACCAAAGGAAAAAGGTAAACACCATTGATCTATAATGATGGCCTACCTGCATGAAGGCTTGTGCAATGGTGGCACACAAAATATGGGACCAACCAACAATATCTAAGTGGATTTAAAGCCCACTCCATGAAAAAGAACTCATCCCATATACTGCTCAGTTGGTGAGGAACCTGAGAACAGGGGAAAACCAAACTATATTGTCCTGCTAGAGGAATGGTACCATAAAATGACTCCTAATGACACTCTGCTATGTACATAAATCAATTCCTTACTCAGGCAATATCATCAATATCAATAGCATCAATACTTCCTCTTGCAGTAAACTGGAAACAAAACAGAGATCTACAGTTGGACATTGTGTAGAGAGTGAGAAACCTTGGAAAACTCAGTTCTAAGTGGCATGTTTCCATCAAGTTTCTCTCTTCAGGGTTCAAAGAATGCTATGGAACAGGAGACAGAAAACTTGTAAGAGAGAATGGGGATGGAAGACACCAAAGAAACAGGGGTTGCAGGACTGAGGGGGGAAGTGGACACAAATCCCACCCCTAACTTAGAAGCTATCTCCTTTTGATAACCATTTGCAAATAAAAATTTAGTTCTTTCCAAAGGAATGTCACTGGCAATAGAAACCACGCCTCAAGGCAGGTCTGATGCCCAATAATAGATGGCAAATGCAAAATGAAGATAAGGGCACATTGGAGGTTTTTGTCCCATAATGTATTTAGAGATTTTTCTTACAGGTCCTTTGCAAAAACATAATGGCTTCCCATTTTGTGTTTTTATAGGATTATTGTGTGTATGAATGTGTGTGTCTCTGCATTTTTTTCTATTAGTCTTCCTAGGTTCTCTCTTGTCTGTCTTTGGTTTTGTCCTGTTCCAGTTTGTTTTGTTGTTTTTTTTTGTCGTTGTTGTTTTATTTTTTAGATGTTTATTTGTTTTTAAGGAGAGGCAGATAGGGAGTAGGTTCAGATGGGAGGGAAGTTGGGAAGGCTCTGGGAGGAATTTGGGGGAGATAAAACCATAATCAGAGTGTATTATATGAAAAACATCCACTTGCAATACAAGAAAAATAAAAAGAAGAAAAAAACAAAATAAATAAGTGTGAACTACAACGGGGAAAAAAGGATGGTAAAGGAGATGCATAGGCAATGAATTTACCCCCTTTCAAATGGAGACGGGACAGTAAGAATTTCAAGTGGTTGGACATTGAATGTCCTATAACTGTATTTCTGGAATCCCCAGTTTTAAAAATCATTTCTGTCACCACAGAGTATCTTTCAGTATTCCCAGTAATTTCTAAGCCAGAAAAGAAAAGAGAAAGGCCACTGGCAATCAGTCAGTACAGCTGAAGCTCTGCCTGGCAGAGGCTGTGGGATGGATCTCAAGGTCTCACCAGGTTCTCTATGCTGGGAACGAGGGAGTTTTACACAATCCCTGCTATTCTAAAAGGTAGCTCACAAAAAGCCACACTTCTCATCTGACAGCAGAACTGCAGGATCTTGGCAGTACAGAGAAGACATGAGGAGAGTGTTGGCTTCCCTGGGTATTCTCAATGTCAAATTAAATGACCCTTGGCTAGACTGCTGGGAACTTGGATAAGTCCCATGAGGAAAAACAATACCTGGTACATTTCAGTTTCTGACCAATAAATTCTTAGTATTTTTAGGTTTCTTTTTTGTCAAACACACCCACATACACACACGCACATACACACACACACAAACACACACACACACACACACACACACACACACACACACCAATGAAATGATTCCTAATGATACTCTGCTATACTCATAGATTTTTCTTTGCCTAGTTGTCATCAGAGGCTTCCTTCTGCAGCAGATGGGAGCCAGTGCAGACACCCACAACCTGACACTACGCAGAGAGAGAGTCTAAATTGGAGGTCTCCATCAGGTCCCTCCCCTTGGAGATCTGGGAAGCCCACAGACGCACAGAAGAGGGGAGAACTACAGAACATGGCCTACAGAATCAAGTAAGCATAAGAGCTCACAGAGACTGAAGTGGCAATCACAGGGCCTTCATGGGTCAGCACCAGGTCCTCTGCATATGTTATGCTTGCTAGCTTCATGTTTTAACAGGACTCCAAACAGTAGGAACTAGCTCTTTTGTCTGCTCTTGAGACTCTTTCCCTCCTATTGGGATGCCTGTACAGCCTTGATATAAGAGCTTCTCCTTGCCACGAGGTATCTTGTTTTGACCTATTTGGCTGCTGTCTCTTGGAAGCTGCTCTTTTCTGAAGAGGAATTCAAGCATTTATTAAGCATCTAATTTCAAAAACAGAAATTTACTTCCAGGTTTATAATTTATCAGATTCTCATTCCATCATTTACATGTAGATAGTTTGTATTCATAGGATACATCACTTGTTACATTCTAATGGAGAGAGTCAAGTCTTTTTTTTTCAGGTCACACACATTTACTGCTGTCCACTCACGTGCTTTCCCTGACCCAAGTATCCTGAGGGACATTATTTACTATTCATTGTATAGGAAATGTAGCTCTCATATTAACCGGTAGAACGAAGAAAGACCTTAAATCTTTG